TCCTGATTCGGTCAACATATCAATATTTTTTTTTTGTTGGAAAGAGCATCTCAAGGCGTAGGGCATGACGAGGCCGTTTTTTTTAAACAGTCCTTTTTTAAGCGCAAAAAATGGATCACAAGTTCAATGTCTCAAAAAATGGTAGCAAAATCATATAAATGGCTGTATATTAACCAAACAAAGGCTTAATTCAAAAAAAGGGCACGGTCATGCCCTGCGCCTTGAGATGCTCTTTCAAGCAAAAAAATAATTTTAATACGTTGAACGAATCAGGAAGGAGAAATTTGGGATGCCTTTTTGAGAAAGTGGAAACTGAGAAAAAACGAAAAACATTTTTTGATTTTTCAAAAAACAGCTGGTTTTTCGTATAGGGGTTGACGGAAATCTTGAAAATTTTTTGGGAAAAATGAAGTAACGAGAAAAACAAATTATCGTTTATGAAAGAGCAGATGACGGGCTATCTTCCCATGCATTTATCTCAACTTTGACCATTCTGACGAAAACTGACTTTTTATGAGGGAGGGGGGGGGGGTGGCCTTAACTCATTGCTGTAGAGATACTGGATTTTAATGGTATTTTTTTAAAATAAATACTGTGGTAACAGAAAAATTGATTTTCGAATTGAAACTTTATATAGAGACAGATCTAGTTTATTGTAAAAGTTTTAAGTCTTTTTATTTGTTTCTATCCTGAAATAAGAACATCAAATCTACAAATTTATATGAACGATGTAAAATTTCAAGTCGAAATTCAAAAACTAATTTTTCTGGACCAGAGAATTTATCTAGAAAATATTGTAAACACGAAGTAATGGGTGATGCAAAAATGTCGCTCCTTTGTTCCTTGGCTAAACATGTTTGGAAGAAATCGGAAATACCTATTTAAGAATCTTCGTCGAAAGTGGTTGCTAACTGTATAATCAAAAAACAAACACATCTTTAAACATTACTAAAATGTACACTGTAAAAGAAAAACAGTTCAAAACGATTGTGGCAAAATGATCAATCTCTCTGTATTTTGTAATATCCTTCGGTTCATTCTATCACAATGTTGTGCTCTTCAATCTATTGGAATATATGTTCTATTTTCAAGAATCAATATAACGAATACTATTGAAATTTTTGAAACAACATTACTAAATAAAAACAACTTCGAAATTCTCATGATTTTCAGGTTTAATGTCCATTTTGTATTGGTCAGTGCTCGCTTTTGCCATTTCTGTGAGTTGGCAACATAAGAGCTGGGATATACTTGTAGCTCGAGTATTCTGAATCAACATTGTATCTGTTTTGAATATCAATGATGACACTTGGATCTCGAAAAAATCTTATCAGACCTTCATCAGTTTCACATTCGGTTTTAGTGTGTTGTTTTCAATTTCCTTTTTTCGTGTTATCCAAAGCGATCTCGTACGGTTTTCTATCAAGTTCATAGAGAATTAAACAGCAAATTTAACGAAATAAAGAGCAGAAAAATACAATGGACAACATGCGAGAAAATCAAAAAATAATGAGAGAACAGTTCCTTTCTCTCACAACTACATTGAGATATTTTTCCAGTGTATATTTTAGTAGTGTTTAAAGATGTGTTTTTTATTTGAAGACAATATATGTTAAAACTTTTTTGATCATACAGTTAGAAAGTGCTTTCGATGCAGATTTCTAATAGGTATTTTCGATTTCTCTTCAACTTCTTTTAGCTAAGGAAAAATAAAGCAACATTTTTGCATCACCCGTCAACATAAATAATAATTTTGAAGATCCTCGTTCTTCCTTATGATCAGCGATCGACTGAACTCAATGAAATAACAATTTTATGCATGTAAATTAAATAAAATAATATAACATATTAGATTTTTATTTAAGTATATTTTTGCTATGTTTTAAGAGAAGATTAATAAATGAAAAAAACAAACAAAAACCTAAAAATCAATAGTTTATTCATATTGACTAAGATGGAATGATTAATAACGAATAATCTATAATACACAATATATAAATTTTTTTGTATTATTTTAAAAAGAAAAAATAAATCACTTACAATTAAGTTCGTTTTTTAGCTTTGATATTAGATGAATTAATATAATGATAAAGAATAATCAATAAAAATACCATAACATTAAGTATATTTGCAATAATAGCCAATTGCACGTCAGATATCATAATTGTTGATTAAACAATTCAAAATCTAAAATAATAATTCGAGAAAAAGTTTTTATTTTTTTTTTGTTCTTTTTCTTATGACTAATGAATTTTTTTTATTGTCTAAAGATTCTGTCAATTATAATAAAATTTGATAAATTCAGAAAAAAATTCACCATTGTTAAACTGCCTTTAGAAGATTTGTTTTTTTCTCATTGATGAATATAATATAACCAATTATACGAAGTGCCTAAAAAGATGTCGCTTGAGTTTAGTTAGCAAGCAAGAGACACAATCTCTACAGTGTAAGCTATCTAAATTAGATGACTAGATCATTCTAAACAAATGTCTTCAAATATTTTCATCATTCAGAAATCTTTTGTCTGAGTTAGTATAACAATAGGGGATAATTTCAGTTTACTAACATTGTACGAAAAACAACAAAAATCATAGTAGTTTCTGAAAATAATGTCAAAGTTATCATGGATATAAAATATTTTGTGGATATGAATAACATAAAGATTACTTTTGAATTGAAGATATGTATATTATATAGACCTAAATGAGCTATGAATATCCTACTGCACTTTTACATTATGAATGCTGTGGCAATAGAAAAATTAAGTTTCGAATTTCAACTTGAGAGAGACTTTAATAAGAGTAGTTTATTATAAAAATTTCAGATCTTTTGGTTTCCTTCTATCCTGAAGTCTGTGGGTTTATATAAATAATGCGTTATTACTATGGTTGTATCTTAACCCTTTGAGTTCTGATGGGAAGCATACTTCCTCTTCCCTCATTGAGAATTTTCAAATCTTCGAGTTTATGAGTATCTTAGAGAAATATTTTCAATAAATTTTAGAAGTTAGCACAAGTCTGTTTGAAGATTGCATGGAGGATATTGAAGAGTGCACTGTGTCAAGTTTCCTTAATCCAAAAAAAGATTTTGAGAATCATAATCTGAATTTTCAAAATTTTTTGTTTATTTTCCTTTTCTTCAAAATCTATACCTATGAAATATATCTAAACTACTATGATAATTCAGTACTTTACAAAAGATTAAATTGATTTGTTTTATTTACATCAATCTTCAACAATAGAATTATCTTCTGTACATATGGTACGCAATGTCTATGTGTATATTTGAACATCAAGTCAACATAAGTTATTCATATCGTACTCAAGAATATTTAGAATATGTCATTTATTAGTATTGCATTCATAGTAGAAAAAGGGTAGGAAGACATCAGAAGAAGAAACACATTGAAAGGAGCATAAGTGATATAGATAGTTCTGAAAAATTACAACTTTTGGCTCATACGTTAGAAGTCATTTCAATTTATCGTTGATACGCTTATTGTAGCATAAAAGAACGAGGCAAAAAAAAATGACGAATATAATTTGTAACTTTTGTTGTGTTGACCTTTGTGTAAAAAATTGATTTTTTTTATTGTATTATAAAAACTATGTATATCAGTAATGAAATAAATAAATATTTCAGTAGTTATAATAACAAAAATGTTTTAATATTCATCTAGTCACTTGCTTTCTTAATTATAATTTAACTACATGCTTGATAATATCATTTAATTAGTTTATACCAAGTTTCATCAAATTTGATTCAGTAGTAAAAAAATTCAAGCCCTCAAAGGATTTGACAAAATATGAAACATTTACAAAAAACTACGTCTGTCTCTATTTCAAAGTTTCAAGTCAAAATTCAAAAATCAATTTTTCTATTACCACGACATTCATTTAAAAAAATATCGTAGAAGTGTAGCATCTACACAATAATAAGTTAAGAGTATTTATAGTTGATTTGGATCTACATAACTTCGACTCTAAAGCAATTTATTAGATAGTGGATTTCCTTCGTAAGATCAGAAAGATCTATTTGTACTGATGAACTTCTGAGAAGATGAAAACTAATTCCAAAGATAGAATAAAATAGATGACAATATATTTATTGTCATGTAACATATTAAATACTATTTGATTAAGTTTTTGTGAGTACTGTTAATTAAGACATTATATGCTTATGTTTATATTTCAAAAACTTATTTAACAATGCGTTTTTAACAATATTCTTTTACATTAAGAGATAAAATGAAATATACTTCTTTTTATTGAAAATCAAAGAAAAAAAAAAGAATAGACTTTTTCAGTCATTATAGCCGCATACCATTAAAAACTCGAGAAGACCCTAAAACTACATGCTATGTAACAACCAATAAATGAAGTACGAAGTTGAAGGTTTTTCGTTTTTTTTTGTATACATAATTACACACTCCCATAATGTGCATAAAATTTCAACTCAATACCATGAAGAGTCTGCTCTAACAAGGGAGCAGGGACCCTAAGGCATAAATATAATAAATAGCGCAAGAATGTTGATTCATGCTGAGTTTTGTCTACATTAAGCAACATAATTTGCCTATAAAAAATGTAAACGAATGTCACTTAAGTGTTTATTATAATGACATCACTTCACAAGATATGATCATAGTCTGTTTTGCAAATGTACATCTATAATTACTAATTACAAAAAAACGAGTTCAAAAATAAATTATATATATATATATGTAGATGAAAATTACTGTAAAAAAAATATAAGTGAAAGTAGAATTATATATAGTAGGGCAAAGTTCGTTTACTAATCATCAGAAAATAACATAATGAGCAAAAATAAAGATATATTAGAGAGAGAGAGAGAGAGAGAGCAATAAAGATCGACTTGGTTGACTGCTTCTCATTAAATTATATGGATATATAAATGAGTACAGATTAATATTTTTTATTACATAAAATACTTCATCATTAGCACATCGTTTGTTGTATCTTTTGATAATAATTATCAAAATGACTGCTGCAGATGCTTTATTCAATGAAGCGGACATTAATCGAGATGGAGCTTTATCTCAAAATGAATTTCGAAATTTTTTAATACGACATTCTACTGCTGGTCTTGATAATTCGAATTATTCGACTGGAAATAATTTAGCAACTGGCAATAATTATGGTTCATTATCATCTTATGAAACATCGACATTTGGTGATACAGGTTATACTGGAGGTGAATTTGTTGGTACTAATTATGGCGCATCATCTATTCGTAATTCAGTAATTACAGATGCAAGTACATCTGCATTTCAATCATCGAATATTCAACAATATGAAACAGATGCTCAAGGAAATTTCAAAGATTCAAATCCACAAATTATACGACGACCTGATCCAACTGGACCACGTACTTATACACAAAATGTTCAAGTTCAATTTCTTCAACCACCAGCTGTTCCACCACCAGGAGTACGATATTTAAATATATACACATCTATTTTTTTTTTTTGCTGTTTGTATATTATTAATTTTAGCCATTGATTATTAAAGAAGTACGACCACCGCAACCACCACCGCTGCAACCACTTCGTGTTCGTCAACAAGCTCCACCACTTCCTACACCACCGGCACTTGTTTTACGTGAACGACCACCACCAAAACCAGCTTCTGTTGCATCTCAGACTGGTAGAACAAAAAAAAAACACAAAATTTTTCTCATTAAATTTTCTTTTTAGTTGTTCGAAATTTGAATGCAATTCCTGTTCCACCACGATCAGTCGTTATCGAACGTATACCACCAACTCCACCAAAACCACGTAAAACTTTTTTTTATTTTTAACTCTTGTCTGTATTTCAGTCATAGATTGATTATTATTAGGTGATATTATTATTGAACGTTGGATTCCATATGGACCACAGGCTCAACGAAAAACAATTGTTCAACGTGCACAATCTGCTAGATCTTATCCACCACCACGTAATGTTATTATTGAATATGAAGCACCAAAAGTACGTGTTATTCGACAATTTCAACGTCTTGGTATTACTCCAGAAAATCCACAAGAATATATTCAACGTTATGGAGCATCACTTCTTGATTCTCAAACATTGATTCAACAAGCACGTGTTGCTGGTGTTGTTGAAGACATAGTAAACTATTGAAATTTATTAATATCTTAATAAATAAGTATATCTATCTATATATATATATATAGTCAGCACCTGCTGTAAGCAATTCAATGGCTGTATCATCTAATGGTGGTGTTGGTTTTGAAGTTAATAATATTGGTGGAATTGATGCCGGAACTATTGGCAGTGGTGGTGGTCGTGCTTCATTCTATGAATCATCATCTAGTGGTAATTTTTCTGGTCTTGGTGACTTTCGTTCAACATTACCAAATATATCATCAACTGGTGGATTAAATGAAGGAATTAATGCAGTTTTTGCTGCAGCTGATACAAATAATGATGGTGTTTTATCTCAAGCAGAATTTCAAAATGCTGGATTTTAAAATAAACTCAGACAAACTTTTTCTTTATTGAATTATTTTAACTAATATATATATATATATCATGAATCAACAAAATAATAATTAACTATTTAGACTTTTCAATCAATTAACCTTGCAAAATTTTTCATCTTTCTCTTTGCTCTTTATATTCACTTTTACATTTATGTAATAAAAGAAATAAAATAAGTTTTCAAAAAAACAAGACCATATGTACATCATCATTATCATGATAAATATGTTCTCTTTTTTTTTTTATTGAAGCAAATGAAAAAAAAAAAAGGTAAAACACACGAACTAATATAATATTCATCTATACATAATGTAAATGTATTATTAAGCAAAATGATGAAATGAGGAAAAAAAAAGTTTAATGTAAATGATATGATCAAAGAGAACAGTGTAACGAAATAGAACGAACATGTATAATATAAAAAAATTGAAAGAAAAAAAAATTATGGTCCTTGTTCTTATAACAAGGTTATTGTCGAATATAAATTTTTCCTTTTTTTTTCTCCTTTGAATTCATCAAATCAATTAATGTCCTAGACAAAATAATTTATCTAAATTAGAAATAAAATTTATTCTTAATAAAAATCATTGAAATTAATATACATACTGATTTCGAGAACTAATGAATTGACGAAATTCATTACTATCAAGTGATCCATCTTTATTTAAATCAGCAGTTTTAAATGCAGCATTAGCTAAATCAATATTACTACCAGTTGAAATATTGTAATTTTGATAACCAGATGGATTGCTATCACTATATGCTGCAATACCTTGTGATGAAAATGAATTTGCTTCATATGGTGATACCAAACCACCAATACTACCACCTTGAACTGATTCATAACCTGAAAAACCAGCACCTACTTGTTGACCAGCATAATTTGATGAATCAAATGCTGATGTTGAACCAGCAGGTCCAGCTGTTTCAATACCTGAATTAGCACTAACAAAGTCAGCATTATATGATGATGAACTCGCCCCTGCTACTGCTGTTGCCGTACCAATATTTGTTGGTGGAGACTAAAATAAGACGAAAAATACACAAATGAAAAAAAAAACAAAAAAACAATTCACTATTGTTTTATCTTACAATATCTTCCACAACACCAGCAGTACGTGCTTGTTGAAGCAATGTTTGAGCATCAAGAAGTGATGTTCCATAACGTTGAACATATTCTTGAGGATTTTCTGGAGTAATACCAAGACGTTGGAATTGTCGAACAACACGTACTTGTGGTGCTTCATATTGAATAATAATATTGCGTGGTTTTGGATAAGGTTTAATAGATTCAGCACGTTGAATAATTGTCTTACGTTTTGTCATTGCTCCATATGGAACCCAACGTTCAATTATAATATCCCCTAATAATAATTAATAGAAAATTTTTTAATAAATAAAAATAAACAAAACAAAAAAAAGTTTTTTTTTTTTAATTTTATTTTTACGAGGTTTTGGTGGAAGTGCAGGTAATCGTTCGATAACAACTGAACGAGGTGGAATTGGCAGAGCAGGTAATTTTCGAATAACTATATAGAAAAAATTTTAATAAATATTTACAAAAAAAAATTGAAATATGCTTTTTTTTACCAGTTTGAGCAGCAGCAGAAGCTGGTATAGGAGGTGGTCGTTCACGTAAAACCAGTGGAGGTGGTGTAGGAAGTGGTGGTGCACGTTGACGAACAACCAATGGTGGTGGTGGTGGGGGTTGAGGTGCTCGTACTTCTTTGATGATCAATGGCTAAAATCAATAATATATACATAAAGATAGTTTATTATGATAAAAAAAAAAAGAAAGCTTACGCCTGGTGGTGGAATAGCTGGTGGTTGAAGAAAACGTATTTTAATATTTTGTGTATAAGTTACTTGTCCACCTTGTGCTGGACGTCGTATAATTTGTGGATTAGGATCTTGATAAAGACCTTGAGAATTAGCAGCATATTGTGAAACTTGTTGTTGTTGAGTATTATTTCCTTCAAATGTTGATAATGAAGTACCTCCACCAGCAGCTGCATTTGCTCCATCACCATCATTTGTTACATTTGCATCAAATCCACCTGTAATACCACCTATTGATGATGCATATGATGCTGGTTCATAAGAACTATAACTTATATTATCACTTGTATTACCAATTCCAGTTATATTTGTACTTGCTAGACCAGCATATCCTCCAATACCTGCATTTATATCACCATAAGCACCTGTTGATGAAGTTTCATAAGAACCTGTTGGATATCGACCTTCATCAACAACATTTCCAGTATACATATTTGCACCAACTCCTAAATTTTGTGCAAGAAGATTGCGAAATTCATTTATATCAAGTCGTTGGTCTCTATTAAGATCTATTTAAAGGAAAATATGTTTTTCTCTTTTTTTATAAAGAAACAAAAAAAAAAATACCAGCTCGATCAAATAAAACATCAGCCATAATGATATGAACGAATGACTATCTTGTAAGAAACACAAGTATGAATCTTTTATCGTTGTCATTTTAAATACTTTCATTAAAATCAGTCAAGCAAACCAGATAGGGCAAGGACGTGCTTCTCTACCTTCACCCTTGCATATACAAAAGTATTTCAGTAACAGTACACGTCCTCATACTTTTATCTTTTTCTTTCTTTCATTCTTTCTTTCTTTCTTTTTTCTGCGTTCATATATCAAAACTACCATCTAAACGAACATTTATAAAAAAAAAAAAAAACTTTCGCTCACTGTTCAATGTGAGATCGGTTGACTTTCTTAATGCGACAAGCATCAATACATACAATCAACCCTTTGACAAAACGATCATGAACATAAAAATGCGAAATTATCAAGGAAACATAAAAGACATCGTCCTTTTTTGATTCATTATAAAGCGAAACATCAATTTATTTGCTTCTTATCGTTCATGCCTTTATCAGGGTTCTTTCGCTGATTAGTCTGTCTAGTTTTATAACTACTTTCAAATGATACAATACTCTTGCCTATATATCAAAATGAGTTCATCAATAAATGAATGCGTAATAAATGTTCAATTTATAAAAAAAAAAAATTAAAGCTATCAATATAGTTCAAGGTTTAAAGACGATACTGTTAATCAACGGCCTGTTTCATTTCATTCAATTTTTTTTTAATGTTCATTTATTTGACTTCAAATATGATGCACAAGGTTTTTCAATGTGAGAATGTAATATTTTAACAATTTCATAGAAGATATGAATAATGATTGTTTGATGAAAGTGCTAAACATTTTCAATCGAAATTATTCATAATTAAACTTGTTCAATAGAAAGAAAAAAACCTTCAAATTTCAAATTATAGGCAATGAATTTTATTTCCTTCAATTATTCATAATTTTATATAAAAAAAGAAAAAAAGCTAGACAAAATCAACAAATTGAATATGATTAGATAAATACTGGAATCAAAAAAACAATTCTTTTTGTTTCTTTTCTTTTTTTTACTGTCGAATCTATGTTAGCTTTTTGTACTTAGATTTAATTAAACACGGAAATTAGTACATAAAAATTTTCTAATGAAAATCTCTCGAGGCAATATACTGTTGCGTCATCATTCTTTTTTTTTGCTTCCTTTCAATTGATGAATATATTCAACTCACTTTTCTATCTCTTAGTGTTTTTTCTTCTTCATTTTTAATACTACATACAAATAATCTTCGAAATTAATTTTCAATACATATAAATTATTTTCCTTTTTCTTTAATTATAGAGAAAATATGTATAAAAAAACACCTGTCTATAATAAAGCATCATTCAATAAGAGTCTATCAATAAGAATTTCTAGAATAAATTAACATAATAGTTTTTATTTATTATTTATTCAATTGAAAACTATTATTTATTGTTACTATTAATATTATTAAATACAAAGTAAGATTTTATTTGATTTGTATCATAATTGTAAAGAACAAAATCGCTGTAAGCAATTTTATTACTGAATAACAATTGAATAAAGGAAATGTGCATAATCTCTTTTTAATTCAAATTTTATTCATGAACGCTATTTACGTATGAAAGAAATTATCATTCATACAATGCAAAAATTTTTCAGAAATCATATATCATACAAATAAGATTTCTAATCAATATTTTAATTTAAAAATTATTTTTTTTGCCTTCCATAATATAATATCTCTTCGAGAAGTAAATGATTGTTATCATGAGTGTACTTCATAGAACAAAATGTATTCAGCCTCGAACTCTAATATCACTATCAATTGGTTTTTATAACCTCGGGTAATTTTTTTTTTTAATAGTATAACTGTTTTTATTTCTTATCATAAAAATAAAATATTCATCATTTTTTTAATATGAGAAAACAACATTTTCTTTTCTCACTTTCCATATATGATGATGATGATGATGATGATGATGAGAAAAAAATGTTCGTATAATTAACTCTGTATGTCATAGTATTCACAGTATGTGTACATGAACGAGCACGAAGAACACATAGAGTTAATTTTTAATCGGAAACCAAACGAAGAATGTTAGGTGTGTATGATGTGATTCAAACATGGAATAGATCTCGATTATTACAAAAAGAAAAAGAAGAAGATAGAAAAAGAATAGAGAGAAATACGAATGTAATCAGAGTTTTCTTTTTCTCTAGATACCTGTTCAAGGCTCGATGAAACCACTCATATAATAATAATAATAATCATGATGGTGATGGGACGAAGAAAAGTGAGTGAACCGTTCTATGCCAAGGTTAACATAAGATAGAATCTCATGTTCTTTTAAAAAAAAAATTTTATTAAAACACATTATGTACTTAATAAAAAGAACGCAATAAAATAGATTTTTCTTTTTTTTTTAATTTCAAATAGTTCAAGCAAAGTCAAGATATTCATAATCTCTTCTTGAACTGGTCATTTATACGGTACTCAAGATAGACGGATGTGTTTACGTCTTGCATGTCATTTGTCTTCATTAACAAGCACGCGACTCTTAACGACTTATTTGCTCGCTATACCGTACTCAACTGTTCAATAAAAATCGGTTGGAAATAAACAATGAATAGGTACTTATTATAAAGAAAAAACATTTATTTTGCCTAGCATTGATAGACAATTAGTAAGCTCATTTTTAAACAATAATGTATTTAGATATATCTATATAGAGAGGAAACATGTGTATACGCCTTTTTTTTTTTTTTAATCTCAGTAACAGATTTCCGATTAGTTGAATAAACAATTACAATAGGGAGAGTTAGCCGATCAAATAATCAAATTTTTTTTTTATCTTTGTAGACTATATATATGAAAAAAAAAAACTAGAAGGAAATGAAATCAAAAAGAGGATACTCGACGTTTAATGAAAATGCTAAGTACTATTAGAGAGTATATATATATATATATATGGGATATGAAATTGAATTTGTCTATATTGATCAGGGGGAAACGATCATTTGTGAGGTAAATCGATTAGCTATTTTCCGGAAAAAAATCTTTTTCTCGTTTTTTCTTTTATCAGCTTGTCAAGCACCTGTCTGGAGATGACCTCATTTATTCTATTACTTATTTGCTTTGCCTCCTTTCCTTTTTAATTTTATCTTCAACCGATGACCAGTCTCAATGAATGTGCTCATTCAGATCATCGCCTATTGTTTCACAATGATTTATTCCCTTAGGAGAGAGAGAGAGAGAGAGAGAGAGAGAAGGAGAACAACAAAAAAAAAAAAAAGAAAGAAAGAAATAGAAGCAAAAGAAAATCTCTTGAGCGTTCATATTAATCAAACTATTTGTACTTTAATCAATTGGTATTTTGTTTGATATAATTGTTTTTTTTTTCAAAGGTAAGTGATATAGGTCTTAACAATTATATTGAAAAAAAGAAAAATAGATCTCATATTTCATTCATAAGCAATCAGTTAACGCTACTTATGTAGATAATAAGTTTCATAATCTCTTTTAAACATGCAACTTCTACTAACAATAGATTTATTAAAGAAATCATTATAAAACTCTAATCATTTGATGAATATTTAGAATTTGTTAATTATTTCTTATTCGATATATATATATTCCATATAACACAAGTGTGTATATATATGTCTATATCGATAATTGTTTTCTCGCACGCAAGACAAGTCGTCTGGATTTACTCTTTCCTGCTGTTAAAATGATTTATCTAACTATTGTTATCGACGGGTAGACGAATGTAGTTGAAGATTAGCATTACTACTACTATTCCGTTGTCGATTTCTTATTATTATTCACCTTTTCTATCATCTATTTCTGCATTCAATCTGACAAATTGATGATTAGAATACTGTCGATGATCCTGAACAGACATCATCAGTTATTTTATGATAAGAAAAGAAACAAAGATCGATATGTTTGTATTAGAGTTCAAGAGAGGGGGGAAAAAAAATACTAAAGGAATACATCATTCAATAATCTAACTTGACAACAATAGTGAGTTTATAGCCGGGAGAGACGAAAAGACAGTGCACTAAAGGGAATTAGTCAATCATTCGATTAATCGTTTATAGTTTATATATATATATAAAGAATGAAGATGACTGAGACAATTCGATAAAAATTACTTCACGCGTCAGAGGTGATTATTATTATTATTATAATTATTATTTTTATTCGACAATTGTGAACTATTGTCTTTATGTATAACATAGGCTATGATTAGTAACACTACATAAGAAAGACTATTGATATTTTACACATATTGACTTTTTCCTTATTTTTTTTGTTTTCTGTCTGACCGTCTCTTCATCATGTTGATACATAAAGTGTCTATATCTTCTTTTGTCTCATTCTGACACGTTCATTTACTAAGCGATTCCTGCTGTGCTTGCTTTATCTGAACAAGACATAGAGCGCACATTAATTCAAAACTAACAAAAATAATCAACCATATTATTCTTTATCTCTTTTTCATTTTAATTAAATTCCAGTATACAGGTTTGTTAAATGAAAACATTCAATTTGTCATATGAATAATATTAATTTTAAATTGAAATTCAATCTTTGTATATAAATCTAAGAATATATGTTATATAAAAGAAAATCATCTATCATCACTCGATAATCTTAATGTACTTGATGATTATTTGTTTATTGATAATCTTTATCTATATATATATATATAAAAAAAAAGAGAAATTTTTTTATTTTTCTTAGATAATTATTTATATTAATAAAACGACAACGACGACTATGTATGTATCATTGTCGTCACATGTATACAATTGAATATCATCAGTTATTTATTTTAATTATTCTATTATTTTTTTATAAAACAAATATGATTAATAGTAATAATGACGATAATAATCGTTTTGAAATAATTTATCGTTTTGAATATGATGATGTTAAATTTCGATGTGATTTAAATGATGTTGCTTGGTGGAAAAGACCAAATTTATTAGCAACAAGATATGGTATTATTTTACCAAAATTTCGTTCAAAAATATCTTTTGAACGATATAATTATAATAATAATACTATTAATTCACAAATATTAAATATTCGTCAATTAAAATCAAATGATTCGGGTATTTATGAATGTGAAACACTTGGAGCTATTCGACAATTTAATTTAATTGTTATAGGTATGTAAAAATTTTCTTTACATAAAATAATACAATCAATTCTTATTGAAGAAGAAATTTGCATTGTTGAGTAGATACAAAAATTTATAACTTGTATTATTCGAAACTTAAACAATACTTATTTTTTAAATGTTGCAGAATATATGAGATTATTTATATTTTTGAATATTTCTTTTCTATTCTTTATTTGATTTAAATACTTTTTTTTTCAACAAGTATTACTTTCTTTACTTTTTTGATAGTATATTTCAATTTGTTTATAAATACTGCGTTTGATATAATATAATAGCAGTTTATAGCTGTAGGTATATTGTTTCTATAACCTATAGTCTTATGGGTTTAAATCCGATGAATTTCGAAGTCGAGAATTCTTTCGAGATGTTATTTTTGATTCAGGTGAAACGTACGACGTCTAATATATTCTTTTAGCATCGATTTTATGAACTAGCTATGGTTGATTATTAACGGTCGTGTGTAGTGAATAATCAAAATTCTGAGATAGATACTATTCTATCTTCTGCATATTCGTATTTATCTGTAGTAGATGTAGATGATTAGGAGAGTGTGACAAATTGATCTATTTTTATTTAAAATTAAGTTGTTCGCAATGAAACTATTTGACTCAAATGAAAAGTGATTTAGTTTAATCTATGGATACTTACATACTGATTATTTTTTTTACAATTGCTCGTATGTCTTTATTTTTCAACTTTTTGAATCCAATCATATATAATTTTGTCGAGAATCTCAAAAGTAATATTTTGATAAAAAAGTGTTTGAATCAAATGAAGAATAGAAAAGAAATATTAAAAATACAAATTGTGGAATTTATTTTGTATCATTTGTTTTTATTTAATAAATGACAGTTGCATAGATTTTAATATGGATATTATCGAAGTAGTCACCTAATAGAAAATATATAATATTAATCATAATTATAACAATAACAAGTTTTTAGTTTTCTAAATTAATCTATTTTGTTCATTTAAAATCCATTTGATAATATTCTATAAACTGTAAAGAAAAAAAAAAGCAAATATTGTATTTTTTTTAATAATAATTTTGTTTTCAAACTATAATCGACATTATTCTTTTATTCAACGATCTATTTGCATCTCAGGATGCAGACAAGAGTCTTTTACATTTTTATTTTATCCATAAAAAGACTCTGGACTGAACCCTAAGATAGATATATATATACATACTGCCATCATTTGCTTTTTTGTTCTAATATCTTTATATAAGTTATATATGCATTCTCTTTTATGTTTTTTCACAGCGAGTAATAATCAAATAAATAAGTTAATATGACATCCGGACATGCAATTTTGTTAATTTCGATCAATATGTCAGATTCGAATAACTGTAAATTTAGAGTGCTTTTTGTATTTAATATTATTATTCTTGTCAATAAATTAAACGAAGATGTTGTTTATTTTTAACAATAGACTTCTAGTTCGATATTTTATATTTTGATATATATTATATCATGAATTTTAACATTATAGTAGAAAGAAAAAATTATGAATATTAATTTATCTCTATTCTTGATTTTTTTGTTCAAATTCTATGATAATTATTAAATGTCTTATCGATATATTTTCTTTTAATATTTTTGAACATATGTCATTTGATATGTTGCGTGTGTGTGTGTGTATATACAAATCGTTTCTGTGTTCATATTCAATGAGCAATTGTATATATGTGTGATTAATATAAAAAAAAAATTCTTTTTGTTAGAGAATGCATGTTGCTTTGATATATATATAAAGAAGTATTAGGCAACTAAACTAATTCACATCAATTTGATGGTAATGGAATAGGAAGGATGCGTGTTGTACACTTTTCGGAAATAATTTCCGATTATTTTTCTTAACGTATATGCACGCTTTTTATGATTGATAGCACATTAAGATAAATATAAATAATATTACATAAAGTGTTTTTTTTTGTACACGTTTGAGTATAGCATTTGTTAAATTAATATTAATTTTATGAAGAAAATAATCGATATATATATATATATGTAACTTGACTATTATTGATTTATTATATAAAATTGTATTTTACATATTTCCTCTCTCTCTCTCTCTCTTTTGCTTCATTGCGCATTTAGGTTAAATAATAGGATATGAGAATCTATTAGAATTTGATCATTGTTCAGATTTACTTTGACAACATTGTCCTTCTTCTTTTCACACTATGAACATCGTATTCAACGATTACAACATATATCTCAAGAGACAGTAATGATGAATAAAAACGAATCTTCTTGAAACATGAGACTTGCAACTAATAGCGAACGTATGATTGTTTCCGGGCGTCTGATTTTAGACACCCGTTTTTTTTTTCCTCTATGTCTACTCTTGATAAGTATGCATTTAGTTATTTCCTATTTCTCTCACTTTACGTGTTAGTATTGTACTAATCAATTACTAGCATCTATCATTTTTATTCATACTACTGCTATTATTTATTTTATTCTCTCTCGCGCTTTTACATTCAATACATAGATCATAATTCTATATTTCCGCTTGTTCAATTTTTCTCTTATTTCTTCTATTAAACATTGTGTATGTTATTCTTAATAAAGAAAAAAAAAACTACATTCTCATATATGATTAGAGACTAAATGGATTTTTTTTTCCTCCATTATTGGTACTTTCATATACCTATTCATTAATATTTCTATAAAAGATTAAGATATAATATATATATAATGTATAACCTAATAAAAATTTATTTTTTAGTTCGTCTTATAACTGTTGAATTTATTGGTCAATTAATATCATCATACAATTCAATAAATGATCATATATCAAATCAAACTGATCATAATCTCTTATCTCAATCATTAAGATTGAATAATGGATCAATATATTTACATGAACATCAATTAATACGTTTTACATGTGTTGTTTTACGAGCTTTACCAGCTGTTAGTCTTCATTTTCCATTTCATATTGATTATCATATTGAAAGAAATTCGACAATAGAAAACGACGATAAAACATATCGAACAATACTTATTTTAATTATTCGTATAAATCGTTATTTTCATAAACGTATATTTCATTGTGAAGCAATACAAAAACATTTAAATAATAATAATGAAAAACAACAAGAACAACATCGAATTCTTTCAAATATTCTTCAAATGGATGTTGTTTGTAAGTAGAAATAAAAGAGATTGTACATATGATTAGATCATATTTATCAAATTTTCCATTAAAAGATTGTACATTTCACTATTGTCATCATTAATTTTTATATATATAGCTACGCTTTTTATTTTTAATTCTATTTTACTTGTCAAGACCATTGACCGATCTTCCTTGTCTCATTCAATTTGATCAACTCTCTTCCTTTTTTTTTCTCCTCTTTCTTTTACATACATCGTCATTCATTTTTTGCTTGACTGCTTCGTATATCTATCTATATATATATATATTCATATGATAGCACACATGGAATACAAGTGTATAAGAGAAGACGCTAAGGAAACATAACTCGAGGGTAAAATGTTTCTTCCTGAAAGAACATTGAATAAAATATATAATGCATTCTTATCAAATAATCTATTGGCTTGTTTTTTCTACAAACGATTATTATTATTATTTGTTGATAATAAATAGAGTAAGTTAAATTATGATATTTTATCTGTGAAAGTCAATGAATTGTAGTTAACAGATGTTGAGTGAAGAGATTTCTCTTTCTCTCTCTCTATATATATGTATGTGCTGACGGCGTCCAATTTTGTGACCAATTAAAACTGACATGTTATTAATCAACAACAGTCCTGATGTGGCTTTTTCTTTCTCTTGTCTTATTCTTTGATATTGACGAAGCTTCGGTTATTAGCTACTATATAAATGTATACCACATCTTTGAACTATCTATTACTAGTAGAAAAAAAAAAGGAAAAGTTATGTGAATGTGCGTGCTGTTCATAGTGTTTCTTTCTCGCGGCTCTAGTATGTATGTGTATGAGAAAAGAAAAAGAAAGACAAGATATTCTCTTTTCTTCTGTCTTATCCATTCTATTATTTACAACCGTCTTTATTAATAATACTTTCACTTTCTAATTAAATATTTCATAATATTCATTCTTGTAAGTAGCCTATTTAGTTTTATGAGATAAGTTTTATATTTTTTGTTTTGAAAATAATCAATAAGTAAAAGTTGTTAAAGGGCAAACAACGAATTATCGTGTCTCGTATTGTTTCTCTGCTTGATTACTGACATTTAAACATACAATCTATATATATGTAAGGTTAAGTAGCTGAAACAATGTCAGTTGTCTTATTTGTTCTATATAGAAATTAAATGTCTTATAGAAAAGTGCATATCGTCTATTAGATATATCTTCAAAAAAAAAAGTAAATGAATAGAACATTCGAACATCTAACAAACGAAGAAATCTATAGGACTGGCTAACTGTCGACATAGTTCTATTTATTAGTAATATTGTACATGTATTTTTGTCCAGCGTATGTCACTCATCCGTTTGTTTATATATCAGCAAATAAATCTATTATTATAATAGGAAAAAACAAACTACTAAAGTCATTTACTTTTCTTTTTTTTTTTTTTTCTAGACAGCCCAATATGTTCTCATAAGATATCATTTGTGCCTGAATATTCTACTGGTATACATCGTCCAATTAATTTAACATGTCATATGAATAATGGAAATCCTTCAAAACTTAATTTTACTTGGCATCTACCAAATGGAAATATATATTTAGGATATTATTTAAATAAAACATCAAGTCATATTACAATAATACCAAATTCTAATATTGATTTTGGTCAAATTACTTGTCGAGCACAAAACGAATTAGGTTTATTTGGAGAATGTCATTTTAATATGGTTTTAGGAGGTTAGTTAAATTGTTTTTTTTTTACTCTATTATCAAATATATATATATATATGCTTAATTAATAAGAAAGATTATGGCATTTTTCTTGTTGTTTCATATACTTTGACAAAGACTTACAAAATAATAAGTTTAAGATTATCCACAAATTATTTAGTTAGTCATGTAACTAAGAGCTCGTGGGTAATAATAACAGTGTCGTACAATTTGGAAGAAAAACTATGTAATATTGTATTAATGATGGTAATTAGTATGTTTTTCTTTCTTCTAGTGGTAAGACAGTGCCTTACTTCACCCTTGATTATGCTACTACATTTTGTCTATGACAAAGAAATTACCCGAATTGATATTTGCTGTTTTAATTCATATTGAGTTTGCAAAGAGATCTTGATAAGACTTCCTTGCAAATGACTTCAAGCGGCAAATGTCAGTTCGAATGTGGATAAAGCAATGTATCCTTTTTTTTGTTTAAGGTGTACCTGATCCAATAGAATCATGTCATTATACATATATAAATTCAACATTAACTGTAAATTGTATGGCTGGATTTCATCAAGGTGATGAAGATTTTTTTTGTTATATGTATAAACGACAACAGAATGGTTCTTATTCAGAACATGCTCGTTTAAAAGGTTTGTTTGAAACCAAAAAAAAAAAAAACATATCTATCTCAAAGTTTAATTGATCTTTGTTTTGTATTAGGTAATTGTGCATTTATTCTTCCTGAACTTAAACCTGAATATCATCATGATTTTCGTGTATTTACAAAAAATAAATTTGGAGATAATTATGATCAAAGTTATTCAATTCAAGTTGGAAAATTGAAAGGTATTTGTTTTTGTTTTTTTTTTGAAATATGAAAAAAAACAAACAATTAAACTAAATATATATATATATATATTACTTAGTTGAATCATTTACAGATAAAACTGGTATTTCTTGGCCTTATATGGTTTTCTTTATTATTCTTGCATGTCTTGCTTCATTAATTTTAATTTGTTGTTCTTGTTTTAAATTACGAAAAATAATGAGTTATAAACGAAAAACTGAAAACAATTTTGAAAGTAAATTTTATATTTAAAATTTTGATAATTAAATTAAATTTTGTATATTTAGATCTTACTTATCGAAATCATAATTCTCATCATTCACAAAATATTCCTAATGGTAAAACATCTTTAGGTAAAAATATAATATTCATATCTATTAGAAATATTTTCTAAATAAATCTATTCGTTAGTTATTTATTCTTCTTATTTGATTGTAACAAAATGATTAATTATATATATAAGATATTAGGAAAATATACTTATATCCATAATAAATCAAGAAAAAAAAAAGCTTCATATAGCTGAAAGATAGAAAAGCAAAAATAAATAATCTAGCAAATCAACATGTACTGAATGAAAGTAAACACCAATTGTTTAGAATTCATCATTCATCTTACATAATTATACAACTGTTATATTTCTAGAAGAGAAAGTTATCTGTCATGCCCTATTTTTTTCTCGATACATGACTAGAAGTTTCAGCCGATCAACTATACCACAGCCGATGAGTGCGAAATTTCTTAAGATATTACGCCGCGACCATTCTCCTAAATAGTTGCTAAATACTCCAGCCGTCGTCAATGGTCGCAAAACTTTCAAAATACTTCAGTCGCGCTGCCGGTGACCACGAAAGATATCTCAGTCGTCAATGCTCTAATGATCCAGCCGAGCCGTCACCGTAACATTTTAAAAATATCTTAGCCTCTCCACCGCCGCAAAATTTGTGAGATGCTCTATCCACAAGCGGTTTAGTAGGGCATCCGTGCCATTGCCACGGCATTTAAGCGGGTACTAAATTTTAAAAAATTTTCGCCATCCAGAAGAAGTGTTCGGAGATATTTTTGCCTATTATCGGAATTTTAAAAAAAGGCCGTCGGGCAAAATGCTTATAACTTTTGAACGAAGATAGCTAGAGCCCTGGGGTTTTCACCATTCGAAAGGGGACGCATTTTCCTCCAATATTGTAGGGGACGAAATCATTTAAAAATCAGTCATTTCTAAAAAACATCGAAAAAATACATGAAAACGATCTGTCATTGCGATGAAATTTTGGTTCGGACATCTGATCTAGATAGAGGAACTTCAGATGTATAGTTCAAGATATAATTCGAATGATTATCTTTCCTCCTCCTAATGTTGAGCAAAAAAAAACTTGTCTATTCCATCGCACGAAAACTATAGAGTTCTTTTAATTTTTAAGCGTATTTTCTTACTTTTCGTCAAAATTTCATCTGAATGACAGACCGTTTTTTCTGCATTTTTTCGATATTTTGTAGAAATGACTGATTTTTAAATGATTTCGTCTTATACAATATTGGAGGAAAAGGCGTCCCCTTGTCTCCCCTTTCGAATGGTGAAAATCGCATGGCTCTAGTTATCTTCGTTCAAAAGTTATAAGCATTTTGCCCGATAATAGTTCCTTATCATTACGTTTTCTACTATCTTCATTTCAAAATTTTATGAAACTAACGAGGGAATCGTCCGAAGCGATTCACTGCTTTTGAGCTCATATTTTGGGCATATAGAGAAGATCTCTAGGCTAGAATAATCCTTAGCCTATGACACGATATGTACAAACAAATTGACTGACGATATTGCGACCTGAAATTTTGTCCACAGATAGGTCTACTTATAATTAGAATATCTTGAAAATTTCAAGTCGAAAAAATCATTAGTCACTTTGTTTGTGCATATCGTGTCATAGGCTAAAATTCAAATACAATTGCTATAACTCTCTAGGGCCCGAACCCTTTTAGGATTATTCTAGTCTAGAGGTCTTCTCTATATGCCCAAACTATGAGTTCAAGAGCGGTGGATCACTTCGGGCGGTTCCCTCGTAAGAAAAAAAAGCATCGAAAACTTTCTACCGCCGGCGATTAATGTATTGATATGACATTTTTTTTTGTAGTACATGTAAAACAGAATGGTAGTGCAATAACATATCCTGTTCGTCCTTATCGTTCAAAAGATTATATAGTATCTTCTCAAGCATCAACATTACTTCGTAATAATCCATCTCATAAAAATATATGTTCAACTAAAGATGAAATAAAATCAAATCGACGAAGTACAGCAAAAGAAACTGATCTTGATCATATACTTCATTTATCTAATGAACAAACCAATGGAACAATATCAACAATGAAAACTTTACCTATAAATCGAAATCATACGAATTTTTTTCCATTTAATTCATCACAAAATGAACAACAAAATGAATTAAATCAATATCCCGAAACATTACAACGTCGTTCAAGTTTTCAAGTAGCAACAAAATTAAATAATTTAGATTTTTATACAAAACCAGAATCATTTTATTTTCTTGATAAACAAATAAGAAAACCTATTCAACGTAATCATTATTCACCTGAACATAATCATTCTTCATATTCAAATACCGATTTTAATCGACAAAATAATTTTATTGTTGAAAATCATCTATTAACAAAAGAATATTTAAATATAATAAATGATCAAACATGGTCAGAAATGAATTCTATGAATGAATATAATCAAGAAAATTCTAATGATGATAAAAATTTTATTTTAAATAATCAAGATCGAAATTATGATCGTTATCGTGATGATGGTATTTTTGTGTAATTTGTTCGTTTGTTTTTTTTCTAAATACTATTTGTATAAAAAAGAAAGAAAGAAGAAGAAATGAAAAACTTCACACGTCTGTTTTTTTTTAATTATATGTCGTTTGTTTGTTTTGAAAAATTTTTATAAATGCTTTGAACTCTAATAAGAATTAATCGATTATTTATTTATCTGCACACAATTATTTAGGAGCGAATATCGAATATGAAAAAAACAAAGGTTGAAATAAATTTCTTTTAATAGACTCATAATGTAATCAGAGAAAAGTTGTACTCTTAGAATATGCCTGTAGAAAGAGTGAAGAGAACTCAAGTCTATGTTTTAAGCAAACACAACCATTGGTAGGGAAGCGAAATCCCTCGCTGACCTTTCTCTGATTATACCACTGTCACAAATGTTTAAAATTATTTCGATTGGATACATTCATATCATTTTGAAGTTTTTAATTCATAAGATCAAATGATTATGATAAGATTAACTTCGTATTTTTTTCTTTGAAAAGATTAAAATGAATGTCGTTTTGTATTCCATTAGATGTCCTAGATTTCATTCTTTTATGTACGATAAAACGATCGATAGAAATGTTTTATTTATAAATATGACTAACAATCAATGCTTAATTGATGTATATAAAAATCAAAAATGTATTCGGATATCATTTGACAACATTTGTTGATCTGTAATATTAAATTAGATTTTTGTATTTATTTTTCTTTGATGAATACTCTATATTTCTATACTATTTGATTATACTTCAATTGAATATTATAATAATAAAATTTTGATAAGACTTATTTTTCTATTATATGAGTTGTCTATTTAGTGAATAGTAGTTTCTGAATAACTTTTGATAGAAACTAGTTAGAGAGCTACGACTTTTCATCGTTTGAAAGAGAAGATGAAGATGCATTAAATCGTATATTATACATTTTCTTAGTATGTTGTCTGAAATTTGTTTAATCAATTTTCTAAGTGTAGGAAAATGGTTTCTTATCAAAAAAGAAACACCAAAAAAAAGAAAAACGTTTTTTACAGAAATTGCCAGAAAAATACGTAGGTCTGACAAAAAGTTCTAAGAACATTAAATAGTAATGGAAAAATAATGAGATATTTTCAATTTTATTTTATCAAATGCTGAGCATAGTTGCTATGATTATTTATGTCCGGGTCAATCCTTTCGACACAATTTATTAAAAGTTTTTTTGACCTCTTTTTCTAAAAAAATTTTAGCTACCTTGGATACCATATGAGCTAATCATGTTTCATTTATTTAATCACTTAAACTACATTCGATAGAATTAGTTAGCCAAAAATTATATAGTACCAGACCTGGCGAATACGGTGGGTATGACATTATATTGATATCTTCTTCTGTCATAGAATTAATGACATTGGATGATTATGAAGTAAACGACGATCGTCAAGCAATTTTGTACATTTTGAATCTGATGTCCATTTTTTTCCATATTTCATTAACAAAAGGCTTCGGGCAATTTTCAATATAATAATTATGATCTACAGTCTTGACTTTATCTACCCTCAGGTTTATTTGATTTAAAGAATATACTAAACAAAGTTTTAGTTAAAATCTGTTTTCATGAACAACAATCTTTGGCAATTCATCTTCAATAAGCCAGTTAGCATTAGAAGACTTATGACTAACCTATCTAAAATAAATTGATATCACATCACTAGTAATACTAGAAGGCAACTGACATGATCGAACAAAATTTCATTAAATTTTGTAAAACAAACGAAATATAATTAGCTCATGTGGTATCCAAGGTAGCTAAAATTTTTTTAGGCAAAGAGGTCAAAAAAACTTTTAATAAATTGTTAGAAAGGATTGACCCGGATATAAATAATCATAACAATTATGCTCAGCATTTGATAAAATAAAATTGAAAATATCTCATTATTTTTCCATTACTTTTTAATGTTCTTAGAACTTTTGATCAGACCTACATGAACTTAAAGCTTCGACTAGAATACCTATAACTTCTGAATTATTAATCTCAAAAACATCTGAATTTTGTGCAGTTTTGTAGACCTTTCATTAACGGTTTGAAGGCGTACCTGACAATTAAGAATTCACTGTGTAAACACTTCAATGGATAGGTTTGTGTTCAAAGATGTCAATTGAAAAGGTTAAAAAAGTCATATAAAAAAAAAACCTATAATTTATGATTTGATGCATCTTCATCTCCTCTTTCAAACGATGAAAACTGCAGCTTTCTAGTTAGCTTCTATCAAAAATTATTCAGAAACTATTTACTAAATAGACATTCGAATATCCCGGTTTATATGATAGAAAAATAAGTCTTAACGAAATTTTATTATTATAATATTCGGTTGAAGTCTAACCAAATAGCATTGAAATATCGAGCATTCTTTTCTCTATCAGACTATATTGAGAGAAAGTTTCTTTTAAAGTTTTTATAAGAAATTATAATATCATTCGCATTGCCTTTTGACTACCCTATGTAAATATCATTAGAAAGATTCTTTTGTTTTAAGTTTATTTTAGTGTACAATAGTATAATTCAAATTATAACATTTAAAAAACATCACTCGCTTATATTCAAGTGATACATAAAAGCTTTTTTTTCCTTTGTAATTTAATCTTCTCAAATCGACACATTTGTGCTTACATATAAAGAAAAACTTCTTTTTTTCTCGTGGATGAATTCATAGTTCATCAAATATATTACGATTATATTATGTATTCAAGTTCAATAAAAAGATATTAGTATTTCAGGGACATTTATCATATATAGTTACTACTTTGTAACGACAACATAATTTGGTTGTTGTTGTATTTAATTGCCAAGGTATCAGAAAATATAAACATTTATTTCCAAAAAAAAAGAATACTTTAAGCTATTCTTTATGACTTTATTTTCCTCA